ATAATCAACACAAATCCTCATACTTCCATCTTTCTTCTTCACTAACAACACCGGAGCACCCCACGATGATACACTTGGTCTTACAAACTTCTTCTCAAGTAACTCCTCCAATTGCTTCTTTAACTTTGACAATTCAGATGCAGACATCTTGTATGGTGCCATAGACACAGGTCTGGTACCATGTACAAGATCAATAGCAAATTCAACTTCCCTCTCTGGAGGTACATCAGGAATCTCATCAGGGAAAACTTCAGGAAATTCACACACCACCTGCAATTCCTCAATTACAGCTTGAGTCTCTACAGATAGCGACGCCATCAACGAGAACATCTGTACTTCTTCTTGCATCAACTTTCTCAACTGTATAGCAGACAACATACCGTCTTCCTCTTCTTCAGGAGTAGAAAACTTCACAGACTTGTCATAACAGTTAATATGAACACAATTATGCTCTAACCAGTTCATACCCAAAATCACATCCAAACCTCTTAACGGTAAACAAACCAAATCAACAACAAAGTCTCTGTCGAATATCGACAAGGGACACTTCAAAAACATAGAAGAAGTAGTCATTGACCCCTTGGATGGAGTATCGACGACCATTTCTCCATTCAAAGAAGACAACACAAGACCCAATCTTTCAACACAATCAGCAGCAATAAAACAATCTGTAGCACCAATATTAATAATAGTAATTAAAGAAGTACTATTAATGAAACATGTACCTCTGATAAGTCTATCCTCAGCAGTTGTATGATCCTCCATCAAAGTAAACACCTTTCCACTAGACTGAGCTCTTTTTGGTTTAAGACACTGGCTACCAATATGCCCTTCTTCTCTATAGTTGAAACAAATCATATCCTTATGTTCACACTCAGATACAACATGTCAGTTCTTACCACAACAAAAACACCTCTTTACTTGCACACATTACTCTTGTGCCCATGTTTTCCACACTTAAAGCAAACCACACCAGCAGGAGCATCTCCCCCACTAGTCCTCTGACTCTGAGCAACTTTCTGTTTACCTTTACCAGCTGGGGCATTATAAGGCTTACCACGATTCTGTTGGTGCTTACCCCTCTTCTCACTGATAATCCTGTAATGAGCATTATTATCCTCCTCAAAAATCCTGTAACTATCAACCAAATCAGCAAGGACACAAATTTTCTAGTATCCAACTGCCTTCTTGATCTTCGGGCGCAACTCGTTCTCAAACTTAATACACTTCGAAAACTCAACATTTGCCTCAGCATAGTGCGGATAAAACTTAGCCAACTCAGAAAACTTGGCAGCATACTCAACAACCGACATACTTCCTTACTTCAGCTCAAGAAACTCAATTTCCTTCTTACCACAAACATCTTCAGGAAAGTACTTTCTCAGGAATTCCCTACGGAACATAGCCCAAGTGACATTCTCACCTGCAGCTTCCAACTTCTGACAAGTCTCTAGCCACCAGTCATCAGCCTCGACTGCTATCATATGAGTACCATAATGAACCTTCTGCGCTGGAGTGCAGTCCATCACACGGAAGATTCTCTCAATCTCTTTCAACCACTCCAATGCTCCGTCAGGATCATACTTTCCCTTGAACGTAGGTGAATTCTCTCTTTGGAAGGTCGCCAAGCTACGAGATCCAACATTCCCGTCAGCATTCAGCTGATTTTCCATCGCATGAGCCATTTCTTCTAAAGAAGCAGCAAGTGCAGCATCATTCCTTCCAGCCATCTCAACTTCTCACTACAACATAAACAATGATTAGAACTCAAATTAACAATACTCGACTGTTAGACAACTACGACTCGACGACGAGGTCGGACCAACCTTTTTCTCTGATACCAACTTTGTAACACCCCAATTCTACCCCGGCAAATTATATAAATAAATCAGAGTTATAAAATCCAATCATACAAACGAATTGGGACGTCACAAATTCTTCTATCAAAATTCATTGCATTTATCATGGATATATAACACTTTTAAAACATCGGACGAACCATCATCATAACATCTTTAATTAAATAATTCAACAACTACGCAACAGAATTCTCAATAATAATTCTATCATCAATACATCAACTTCGAAACAACACAATTTAATAATAATCAATCAATAAAAAATAGCAAGCGTTCATCCCCCCGAGTGTTACATATCAGAGCAATGACACCGACTCGAACTACTGAAAGTATACAACCTTCACTCTCGATTACATGCATGTTACCAACATAAGGGCAACATTCAAACAGAAGGGGTGAGATATCTAACAATATAATAAAGCGCATGATAATTAATATACTAAATTAGATCACATAACATCACCACTTCTCATCTCATAATCAACAATAATCACAATAATAATACACATTCACAACGTCATTACACACTTCTTCATGTAATCATATAATGCGACTCAATACTATGCAAATGCATGTGGTACCATTGGAGCAGAACTCCCATCTCAAAAATTTTCCAATTAATAGAGACATCAACAAGGCATAAGCCTTCATCTCAAAATTCACCAATACAGGCCATCTTAACGACCATAAGCTTCATTTCAAAATGCAATGCCTGCGACAAAATCATGAATGTAATAACAACACCCAAATAATCAACATCTCAAATAAACAACATCTCAAACTAACAACATCTCAAATTAACAACATCTCAAAAGCATCTCAACATCTCATATCATCATAATAATTCATCAAACATCATTTATTTATTATAAATCATTAACACAACATTATTAGTAACTTCTCATCAACAACTCAGTTGTACATTAATACTACAGTAATTCATACTGCTATTATGTAATTCTTACATCATTACTGTCACTAATCCTACTGTTATGATTCCAACAGCAACCTCTAGGCATCTAATGTGCATCATTCTGCTCAAAACCAACGCAACGATCAACACGGGGATTAATTCTAAACCCTAAATTGGCTACTAGGATTACACTTCCTATTCTTCATTTTAATCCTCTAGAATAATGTTCATCGTGTTATCTATTCAACACTTCGAATGACATCTCAAACGACATCCTAAAACTCAATTTACAACACTTTAAAACTGAATCTGCCAAAAATAAGGCATTATGGGTCGACGCAAAACCCCTTGGATCGACGCGTACTGCTCTAACTGCACAACATGATTCGATGCATCCTCTCATGGATCGACTCATCCTGAGTCTTGCACACAACATGTATCGACACATGCATCCCACAGATCGACTCATCCTGAGTCTTTCAACCTTCATGTATCGACGCAGGCCTCTTCGTGTCGACTCATACTGAGTCTCTAAGCCCTCATGTATCGACACATCATGTTTGAGGTCGACACATCCTGATCCTTCCTGCATAATTCTGCGATTTTCTTCCCTGCATCTCACTATGGGATTTATGTTTTTAACTCTACAAACTTAATATTATCATGATAAATCATCACCTATAATTATCCTATGATTCTATATCAATTAAACAACATTGGGCCATCATTATTCATCTAAAATTCATCAAATCTTCATCATACATCATCATAATATTCAATTCAAGAACAAAACAACAATCACCTCTAACCCCACATACCAATCATCATATACCCAACTATAGAGTGAGAACCCCATCCTTACCTTGGATTGAAGGTCTCTCTATAATTTTCCGATTGAATTCTCGTTCTGCCGTTTTTTCCCACTTTTTCTAGCAGCTTCACGTTCTCCTTCTCAATCCTTATTCTTCTACTGCTTCTTTCTTTTCTATTCTTTCTAACAACAATAAAATAACCTATTATTCTTTATTCCTTATTGGGCTCCAAACTAATACACCCCCTTATTACTTTTATTCCTTCAAAATAAGCCCACACCAAATAATATTATACTTCTAATATTATTTCTCCACTTAATAAAATGATTAAATCCAATTAATCACAACACATCTTCTCAAATATTCCAAAAATAATAATTTAATTAAATGATTAATTAAATTACGGGCGTTACAAATCACACTGCTAGAACTCACAAGATCCACTTCAACAAGCATGTGGTACTAAGTTTTAGATTTAAGAGTTATATTATTGATTAATCCACATCTCTGGTTCCTCATCTGAACCAACGATTCCACCAATAATTCTAAGACCCGTTTCTAGTTCCTCATTTGAACCAACAATTCCATCAATGAATCTGAGACCACATCAGTGGACCGAAGTCCTACCTATCTCTGATATACATGAATGCATAACAAACAACATCGATATACTACTCAACAACGGCTCCTCATATGAACCCACAACTTCACCAATATCAGGGCACCATTATAGTTCCTCATCTAAACTACTCATCTCGACAATACATATGTAATTACATCTTAATAACGCACATATAATTATATATTTATTCAATATTACTCACCAACAGGGAAAACATTAACATCTAAGCTCAACAATACTCATCAAATGGATAAACATGTTAATACTCAAATATACTCACTAAACGGTGTAAGAAAATTACCATACATGCTCAATAATACTCATTAACAGAGTAAACAAATAATTCCATAACATTTACATGATCAACATGGTCAACTCATATCCCATTAGAGTTCCCAAGGCAAACTCTATTCTTAACTCAGCTATCGTCAACTCAACTTTGAACTAATTCGATTAATCAAATTTAAATCTAAACAACTAAGTAACTTTACTCTATACTACTCAATAACTCAATTTTTAACTCTTTTAACTTGGTAGACTTAAACAAATAAAAATATGACTCAAATTCAACTTTAACGTTAAATTCTGCCATTTGGAAAGGGTTTCCCAAAAACCCTCTCCATAACTCTAAGTAACAATTAGCTTCAACCCTAACATTGTAAAAAAAGACTCTAAACTAATTAAAAGGCAACAGACAGTCACCAAAGTTACAAAACTACTCGAAACTCGTCAAATTGTACCATAAAACTCGACATCGCCGACACGTTAATTGGCTGTCGTCCTCCGCTGCACCGATGCTCCCACAACTCCAATCTCCGACTGCTGCCCGATCTATCTATGGCAGCTTTCAATACGTGTCATCAATGACCTCCGGCGTGGCTTCAATCCATGGTCGCCGCCTTTTCGGTGCGGCCCTCTATCGTCGGTTCTCCTTCGGTCGTCGTTGCGTTTCCAGCGTGGCCCTCGACTGTGACTCCTCTACATGGATCCCCTTTGTTCGCTGCCATCCGACGTGGCTCGCGGTCACGACTCCCCTCCGGCTACAACAGATCTGCCGCACGACCCCCTGATTCGATTTTCCAATTTTTCATATTTTTGACTTTTTCCTACTTTTATAATTTTCGGCCTATTGAATAGATCCACAACTCATAGATAAACATCCGTAAAGAAAACACATTACAATTATCACAATTTCATATACTCTCTCCGTATGGCATTGCCATCATTCATCCAATAATTTGTCTTATCAAATGGCATCAATGGGTAATATCAATTACTTACGCCTTATCAAAAGGAATCAATGGGTATATCAATTACTTCTGCCTTATCATAAGGCATGACTATTAGTAATATAGATAGAATATCACATATTTATGAACCCGCCTTATCATAAGGCATCAAATAGTAATATCAATTACGCTCGCCATATAAAAAAGGCATCAACAAGGTTATCATATGAGTTTTTTTTCTAAATTACACATCAGGGTTTCAATAGGGATACTAATGACCCAGATTACAATAATACCACTAAAGGGCCAAATGCAAAGGGAAGGCCCGTCGTCGCTCTGTGACTCCGAACCTTGCCCACTTTACATTACCTATGAGCCAAACTCAACAGCAACATTTATGTCTCTTTGGCGACTTGGGTCCAGGATCGCCGATGATAAAGCAAAACGATGACATGGTATTATGCTAGCAACATTTGGATCTCACTGGTGAATTTAATGCGATGATGACATTGCTTTCCTACCTTAAAAGAAGCGAGCATGATGTTACCCTAAACTAGGGTGAGCAGAAATCGACGAGATTCATCTCTTAGGAAAGTTCATCTTGTACTCACTCTTTGTTGTATCTAGACTTACACGTTTGTTACTGCTCCGTCCCATTGTGTGAACCAGTAGCTGCCTGAAAATCAACTTCTTTTTCTCTCTAACACAAAATTTAGGTTTTTTGCTACAGGAGGATAAAATCCTTATTTTCCGAAATAAATAAAGTCATAATATTCAAAGATACCGTTAATTCTAGCTAATACTCATAATATAGATAATATACGCCGCAAAAATCAAAACTAAAACATAATCTACCATATAATAAAATCTAAGGCTCTAGAAAACCTTATCTTGCCATTACCTTACCTTGCTGCACGTTTATAAAATTGGGGAAATTTGAGTCATTTTCCATGCTTTCTGTATTGAACCATTTCGTTGGAAATCGACTGCAACTTAGGTCAAACTTCACCTTTTTTTTGCCTTCTTTCTCTAAATTGATCTTATGGCTAACTGTAACGATACCTTGATAGTCTGCATAACATCCAGCTTCTATCTCAATCCTCTTGCTTCTACCTTCTCTCCTATTCTCCTTCATTCTCTCTATTTCTCTTCCTTTTCCTCAACGTTGTTTTGTTCTTTTGGCATCTCACTGAAGGAAGAGACACAAACGATTCCTCACTGATGCAACATGCCATAACAGCTGCAACTCACAACTCCGGTAGTAATACCACACCAGCCGTTATCACCGAGATTTATTTTTTGGTCACATCATCACCATCCTCTTGGATGTTAGCTCACCACCATTTATATCCATCAATCATCAAAGCTCGTGTTTCAGATCCGCCAAGATCCAGCTCGAGTTACTCTTTTATCTGAGAAATAGGTTGGTTGGGTTAGAATAAGTCCTCTTAAATTTTGCATATTTGTATTTGAAATTTTTAGATATTTATTTTAGATCTATATTGGTGGACATGATGGTGATGAGAAGTTTGGGACTTTTCAAGAATTGAATGTTTGTATAATGCTTGATGAAGGTAACTAAACAATGCCTCTTCTTAATTTTGCATTTTATAGCATAAACACTCCTTTTCATTTATGCAGCTGTTGCAAAACAATCCATTGTATATACAGAGCTTCACAGAGGCCGATGATGCTCTCAAGATTCACCATATCGTCCATTGCTTGCTCGATGTGGTTGATGAGTGAGGTGTGTTTGCTACGCGATCATGCTCATTTCAACTTGGGGGTTGATTCTATAATTTTGAGCTTTGATAGAATCATGTTTATTTGTCCTTGTGATGTGTGAAAACAATCCTACTGTCAAATCATACAGATGCGAAGTAAATAATGATCTCATTGAAATGTCCTTATTACTTTTAAAGGCTGACAATTTTATTTTTACACTTGACAAAGCTTTCACAAAGTTAAATAGATGCAACCAATTTGCCTTTGTTAAACTTTCTGTTGTTTGTTTTGAAAATCAATATTTTGCATTTGGAGTAATCCAAGGATTGGCTCAAAAAATTATGATGTGGAAACTAATTTTTTTTAGCAAAGTATGGTCTTCAAACATTATTTGCTTCTTACTATTATTTGTTTTTATTTTAGATACAACTTGCTATCAAGGATGTCAAGTGTAGAGAAAAGGGAAGTAAACTATTGATATTGCTGTCATGAGGGATGCTAAGTTAATTTTCATGAGATTTTTCTTTTTCTTTTATTTTTTTTTATGATAAAATAATTTCATTAAGAAGAAACAACAACAACAACAACAGAAGCATGAAGGACATCCACAAAAGGAAAACCCCCAATCCAAGTTCTAGAACCAAACAATTCTCCTAAGCCAACAACAATATGGGCATCAAAATTGAAAAATCTAGAAAAATACATAATGGACACAACTCTAAAGGACTTTAAGAGCTCTCTACAGTCATCTGCAATGTGAGCAAGAGAGACCAGAGAAAGATGGCCATTAATGCACTCATCAACCTTTAACACATCTGAATGTACGATGATCTTGTCAAAATTCTGGGATCGGGCCAACTGCAAACACCAACGTATTTCCAGTAGCTCAGCAGTCGTGGTATCCATCTCAATAAAATCTTTCCTTCTAGTGGCCAACAAAACCCCTCTCGCGTCGTTCTTGAAAACACATCCAAAAACAACATACCTTTCAGTAGAAAAACCAACATCTACCTGCACCAGGACCACTTCTCGAGGAATGTGATTCCAACCCTCAGGCTGGACCTTTTTCTTCTTTAAACCAATCTCTAGATTCCTTTTAATGAACTCAAGAACATGATCAAGGGAATCATCCACCACTTGCTTCGACAAGACCTGTTTGTTCTGGTACAAGACATGATTTCGGGAATACCAAATATTCCACATCATAGTGCATATCAATTGAGAAGCAAAGGTTTCAAACACCTCCAGGAACTGTAAAAGCCATTCATTCAGATTAGTGATAGTCCCCAGGCGGTAGCCTAAATGAGAAGCAAAAAAACCTGTTTAGTGAAATCACATTGAGTGAAGAGGTGCTGAGCAGACTCCGGTTCCTGATGGCATGGAGGGTATAATTGGTCCAGTTGAACACCTTTCTTCGAGAGATTCACCTTGGTGGGAAGAATGTTCTTAGGAGCGCACCATAGAAAATTGCGGATACTATTCTAGACGGGGGCTTTCCAAATTTCCTTCCATAATTTTGGAGAAGGTATGCTCAAGGATCCTAGTGAAAGAACCCATTTGCTCTGAATGTTGATGTGATACGCAGATCTCATAGAGTACTCACCGTTCACTTTGTTGTGCAAGATGATTTTGTCAACCGGATACCTTGAGGAAATAGGAATGCTAAGAATTTGCATCGCTTCTAAAGGGAGGAAGCAGCTGTGAATAGGGATAGGGATGTTCATGGACGAATTACTCACGTAACCAATCCATATCCCATATATAACCATTTACTATAACCGAATATCATAACCAATCCATATAAATGGTTATATTTTTACATAACCAGTTTATCCATAACTAAATTTTATAACCCGTTATAGATTTCATAACCGATTTTAAAATTTATAACTAGTTTTTAATTTAAAATCGGTTTCAAAAATAAAATTTTTAAATTTGGATATTATTTTTTTTTGAAAAAAATTGATTTTTTTCTCGTATTTTCGGAAAAAAAATTGTTTTTTCATAATTTTAGAAAAACTCGATTTTTTATATTTTCGAGAAAACTTGATTTTTTTTGTATTTTTAAAAAAAATTGAATTTTTTGTATTTTCAGAAAAACTCAATTTTTTGTATTAATTTTAAAAAAACTAGATTTTTTATATTTTCAAAAAAACTCGATTTTTTTCGTATTTTCGAAAAAAAAATCGATTTTTCATAATTTTGAAAAAACTCGAGTTTTCATTTTTCTGAAAAAACTTAATTTTTTGTATTTTTTGTAAAACTCGATTTTTCATATTTCCGAAAAAACTCGATTTTTTGTATTTTCGAAAAAAACTAGATTTTTCATAATTTCAAAAAACTCGGATTTTTGTATTTCTGAAAAAACTCATTTTTTTTGTAGCACACTTGTTTTTTTTGTTGGAAAATTTTCAAAAAATATGTTGATTTAGTTTTTATTTTGGATATGGATATCTTAAATATGGATTTGGTTAAAATCATATTAATAAAATTTCCAAAATATAAATTTGATTAAAATCATATTCACAATTATCTGATTTTTCCTAACTGGATTTAGATATGAATATAGATAATTTATATAACCGGTTAATTTGAACACCCCTACATATAGTTGGTTCCTTATATATAAGAGGAAACCAAGCCTAACTAACAATAAATAAAATAGGAAATTAATCTGACTATAAACACAAAAACTAACTAGATTCCACTTTAACAATATGGACTAATCTTCGTAATCTCTTCTTCACACTCAGAAAATCAAGTAATGATTTATGTGAGACATGTATCAACTTCACAACAAAACCAATTGGTCAAGAAAAAAAACAAAACCAATACAAATAATCCATTATATCCAATTCAACCTTTCTATATCAGTAAATTTCTTCAAAAACTCAACCATCACTACTTGAAGCATCAATGTTACACCAACAATTCCCATAAACAATTTGCTTCTAAATATCCCTTCAAAGATATTCTTCTTCTTCATCTTTCTTGCATTAAACTCATTAAACACTTGACAAATAACAAATGTATTAAAATCAACGTGTCATTTACCTTTGATGTTACACCAGAAATAGTCTCCCCTTTAAATTGTAGAGTCAACAAAATTACTATTTGGTAGAAAGCTTGTGACAGAAGATTCTGTTTGGATTGATTGAAAATATACATGTTATAGAAGTCACACATCGTTTATTTTTGTAAAGGAAAAGAGAGTCAAAGACTATATATATGATTAAAGTTATTCTAGTGCCACATCGATTAGTTTAATGATGGAAGAGAGAATTCAAGGCTATATATAAGATTCAAGTTTTTCTTTACAAGATGTACCAATCAAAAATACTTTAAACTTGTATTTGAGGCTTCTTTGGAGAGTGTGGGTGTATTGAGGCATTGGGGTGTTTTAAGGATAGTCTATGTGTTGTAACAAATTTCACATAATGATATTCTTTGGTTGTCATTTGACAACGGTCGTGGTTTTTCTCCGATTTTGGAGTTTCCAAGTTAATTTTTTATTTTGTTGTTTTGTTCCTCTTTTTTCTCTATGTTTTATTTTTTCGTTACAAGTGGTATCAGAGTCATGGTTCGGCTTGATGGGGAACGAGATCTGGATCTGGTGTGGATCATGTTATAAGACATGGAGACTCACACTTGTGGTGGAGAATGTTGGGTGCAAGTGTGAGTGATTATAGTCCCACATTACCTATGAATGAGTGAAATGTTGAATTTATAAGAGAGAATACTCATTTATCTAACACCTTAGGATTTTGTGTTGAGATTTAGCGTCTCCCTCTCTTGTGGTCCTGGAGCATTGGTCTTGTTGGAGCTCCTGGACTCTCCTGGTTTTTGGCATGGCATGTGTGAAAATTCTTAGAGTGACTAAAAACTTTGAAGCCTGCATTCTCTAGCATCCAACTATCCCACCATATTTTAACCTGCGAACCATTCCCAACACTCTTCCAGGCGTAACTAGGGGAAAACCCGGTCTACTATCTGTAATGGTGGTTCTGGGTAGTATCTACCTTTGAACACCTTCGACATTAAAGAATCTTCCCTGCAAGCAATCTCCAATTGTGTTTACCCAACAAACAGGTGTTAAAATCTCTAAAACCTCTGAAAGCCATCCCACCAGCACCTTTCGCCCGAGCCAACTTTTCCCAACTGAGCCAATGAACTTTTCTCCCCCCCCTCCTTCGATCCCCACCAGAACTTTGCTAACATCGCCTCAATCTTGTTGCAACAAGACTCCGGGATTTTATAGGTAACAAAGAAAATTTTCTTGGTTACTACCTAAAGGTAACAAAGATTTTTTTCCTTCTTTTTCTTTATGATATAAGTGTTTAATTAGGTTGTTTATCCAAATGGACCTTTAATAGAATATTGGATTTTATTACAGCTATATGATGTGAGTTGGTACCTATTACATATTCTGGACCAAGATGTTAACTCTGCTTGTGATTTTGTTACACTACAGGCAAATAAAAATAAGATTTATTTTGGTTGTCTGGAAGTTCATGAAATTGTTGCCTTTGAAACATGAATATCCTGCTTTTTACTAAAATGACACATGACTTCATAATGGGTCTGTGTGTAATGGATTTCCATATTGAAGATAACCCTACTGTACTTATGTATTTGCCTTCTTAATCACATTTTAAATGGTGCTGAATTGCTTTTTATTTTGTTGCAGCATATGGATTGGAGGTTGGGTAAATGTAAGGCTTCAAAATGGTGTACTGAAATTAATTTCAATGAGAAATTTCAGGAAGATATAGTGAAACTAACCCAAATGATAATAAATATATTTGAAGTGTTTCTTCCCCACTAACTGTTTGATGAAATGCATATATTTTGTTCTAATGAATGTTTCATGAAATGATTTAGTATACTGATTGTCTTTTTCAGTGGAACAATTTGATTGGGATGCCACACAGAATGAAAATGAAACTAAAATTGGAACGTTAACCGATGCAGAAAAGCTGCAAACATATATGAACCAGTTTCAGGAATTAGAGAAAACTATTGCCTTGAGATTTGAGTTACAAATCTTAAAGGAGTCCAATAAAAGACTCGAAGATCAAATGCAAAATGAAATATCCTTAAATCGAGATCATGACACTCAGCTCACAGAAACCGAATTAAACGAGGCTTATCACAAGATTTTGGAATTAGAGGCGGAACTAGAAAGCAAGAATCACTATTCTGAAGAATTAGACACAAAATTCGTTGAACTTCAGCTTTACCTTGAAAGGTACTGATTAATCTAATCCTTTAATATATGCTAACTATGTTCAATGTGCGTTAAATATTGTCATACTCATATATCAATTTTTTAATCTTCTCAGGATGAAAATGACACACTCGAATGATTACGTTAATCAGAAAAACGAACCTCTGTGAACTGTAAGTTGATATGTTATATTCCCTTACTAGGAAAATCCAACTCTGTTGCAATATTGTTTTGAGGTTTGTTTAGGAATCCTACAGGAATGGGAGATAACAGCAGCTTCAGAGAATTATTGAATCTGATGCAATTGTCAGAAGCTGTGCTTTGTAGATGTGCAACTTCGTTGTTTTTTTAAATCTTGTGGCGAATCAAGTTGTTTATGATTTTAGTTTGAGGTGAAAACAAAAGTCCTATAACTGGTTTTTCAGAATGGGAGGGGGTTATGACTTCTAAGTTCTAACTGTTATTTACATGTTTGTTGCCTTTGTGAATTGCGTTGATGCAGTTGAAATATATGTTTTATTTTCTATAATGCGCATCGATTAGCTCACTAGCTGAGTTTTTTCATAGGTTATATTGCTGTTTGTGACTATTTCTTTTGTTTCAGATATGTAATTGGTCAATGGCACCTCAAAGGAAATCTAGAAGTGTGAATAAGCAGTTTATAAATACAAATGATCTTTCCCCTGATTTTTACGGTTATAATGATTTTCCAGATTCTAATGGTTTCTCTGTAGAGAAAAGATTATGATGATGATGAGCTAAGGAGGGAAGAGATTCTTATGATGATGATGGTGGTGGTGCCAGGTTGAATCTCTTTGTCTCTCTCAAATAACAATTTATAACACCTAAGTGACATCTTGCTTGGCTATGCACATTATATTTTGAAAATGGTTGCCTGTATTTTGTCACTGTCAGCATACTTTCCTTAGAGAAAAAGCACTTTTATACCTCGCATGTAACTGATGTCTACATTGGTTTTTTCTTCATTTTAAAGGATTGACAAGATTTTAACTGAATATCATCCACTCACTGTATTTCATTTTTGCATGATATGGTATTTTGCTGAAATTAAGGATCAGTTTTTGTTTTTCAAGCTATTTGTTAGGTTGAAATTGAGAGCGTAATAAAGAACAGGATTACTGGCTTGTCATTGAGCCTAAATTCTTTGACAATTTCCCTGACTTTACTAAGCGGTTGCGTAGACCTGCTGTTGCTCTTGTATCAACCAATGGTCCATGGATCACGTAAGAATATAAATCAATTCTTCGTTTTTCTGATAATAACTTTTGATGTTTCAGGCAAGTCGTAACTCTTCCCTTATTTATGTTTTGGAAAATTCATGAGGTTAAGACTGGATCGAGTTTTATTGAGGAGTTTTGAAGCTGACATCCTAGAAGAAGCATTAGCCTCCAATCCTACTAATATGAAATTTGAGAAGCCTGCAAAAAGGGTGGCTCTGTTTCGTAAATATGAATCTGGATGGTGGGAAAGTTTCTTGCCCTCTGACATAAAGAGGTGACGTCGTTGTAAGACATTTTTTTCCACAATACTATACTAAATTGCATACCTTCACCAACTGCTTTGTTGTCATGTGTATCAAGCTGCAGCAGAAAAAGGGAGGTTAGGAGGAGTTACACACTTCACCATACTATAAGATATAATGCAAAAGACAACCATAAAAAACAGGACAACCAATGTACAAACTCGTGATTACTATAAATCACAGCTTCTCAAAAGATTGTTCTAAGTGTTGAATAGATTAGATATTTTCTATAGGAACCAGTGAGAGAAGGAAGAAAGGCCAAAAAATTAATTACACATAAGATTCTACTGATTTCATTATTATTAATTATTAATACAAAAAATCCATGGCACGGTCGGTTGGTTAGGATTTCCACAAAGAGTTAAAATCCAACTAAAAGTTAAAAAGGTTCTTTAAAAACTTTGAATTATAGGAAGTCGACTAAAGAAGCAGTCGATCGGGAGAGATTTCACAAATAGTCAATTGGGTTTGTGGATGCAGTCGACTAGAAAAGAAACTTCATAAGTAATGGATTGGGTCCATGAATGTTAAAAAGCCCAAAGATTGCTTAACTAGCAAAACAAAGTATTATGAATGGAGAATGTGGGTTCGGTAGCAGGAATGAAGAACGTAGGTTCATGGAGGGAAGTTACAAGAGACACGTGGCTTATAAAGAAGTGAAACCTACTGAAAAGTAGTTATTTTTTGTATTATAAATAAAGCACTTAGTACATAGTGGCAGATGTTCAAACTTTCACATTCCTACATGCTAGTCACTCAGAGTACCCAAGCGAACGAGCGAAATGTGTCAAGCTAGGCCAATGTACGTTTGAATCAATCCATTTTCAATTATTTTGATGTTATGTCATCTATTTTTACAATTTAAAACATCTTTTGTTTTATTTTACAAGTCCTGCTTTATTGTTTTTAAATTCGTTTCGCCTTAGTCGAACGAACCCTTTTGAACATACTTTGTGAAAACACTCGAAAACCGAAGCATTATACTGAGGTTTCCTGGTCGACCTCGTCAGTAAACTTTTTGTTAAGAGACCATCGTTATTTGTCAAAACCAGAGGTAAACAAATTGGCACGTCCAGTGGGACAATGCTAATAATTTCGTATTTGTGTGTGATTTTACTAAGTTTTTTATAGTTAGTTTGTGTGTGTATGAATTTAAGAAGTGGTAAACTTTTGTCCAAGTCTAGAATGCCACGCTCTAACACAAACACTGAACATACGCAGATTTCTACACAAAATGTGGACGTCATACCAGTGAGTACCACAACTCAAAGCGCGACAATTTTATCTCCTGTGAGATTGACTGTTGTTCATGGTTCAATGACAACAGTCACAATGACAGAACTTTGACATGAGATATCACCATTTGACCCAAATCGACCACTCTTTCCAGGGGGTCCGGGGTCACCATTTGTCTCTTACCAATATGGTATGTCTTATTCCATGATGGTTGTTGTTGTACCCCAAAATTTTCCCTCTCATTTATCAAAATTTTCCTCACAAGACTTCTTGGACTCAAGACCAGATTAGGGTTTGCTCACCTCAAGACATCTCCTTGCACTGATAACCTGAAATTAGGGTTTGAGTTTGCACAAGAATTTTTGGATCACCAATGCTTCACATGACTTTCATACACCATCTTGAACCCCTAAGATTGCTCATACCAAGTTTCAAACCTTGAATCACATTTTTGCCCAGTCAATTGGACAATTAACTTAAAAATCAGCTGTATTGGGGAAAAAGTCAACTATGGTCAATTTACAGTCAAACTTCATAATTTTTAACCCACAACCACATTTTGGACTCATATGTACCATTTGATCTTGGATCACAACTCCTCAAGAAATTTGATCAAATCATCAAAAGGGCAAAATGGTCAAAATTAAGGTTTTGACTATAGAAGGGCAATTTCTGATTTTTAACCTAACCAATGACCAATTGGGTTCAAGCATGATTTCAAGGACTCAATGGCATCATCTTGACCTAATCACATAGTTCAAAAGATCTCAAGTACATTGAATTGACAGATAAATTTTCCAGTCAACTAATCAAAAATCAACTGTACACTGAAAAGTCAAACTTTGACTTTTTGGTCAAAATCAAGTGCCAAGGGTCATAATTCATCAAGACATGTCAAAATGTGAAACTTGTTGGCCAAGAAACCTAAAATTGCAAATTAGGGTTTTGATTTGAAAATTTTCATAACTTAGAATTTTTCTAAGTATGAAAAATTTCTTATTTTTTCCTAACTTTGCACAATTTTTTCACCATGATGCAATTGGATTCAAAGAAAACTTCCAACATGAAAGTTGTAGTCCTCCATGAAATCTACAACTTTGATTCACAAAGTTTTCCCAAAAGATGTTTGGATCTCAAGTTATGATTTTGTGAATAGGGGTCCATAAACTAAATAACTTAGTGAAATTTTGCCCTAGTTTAGGCAGGTTTTTGACCTAACTTCATGGCAACTTTTCACCTAGTTCCAAGAGGTATCTCAAGTTGCATTTCAAAGATGGATTGTAGAGCATGTTGCAAGCTTTCTAAAATGTCCAAGAACTCTCCAAGATCATTTGTGGTTAGGGAGAATCGAATAAGAGAAAATGACATTTTGTCACTTTTGTTCAAGCCATTTCTACAATACATCAAGTTGCAAATCTGATCCTAGCATGCTTGTACCTTGCATTAAAGGTCCTAAATCCCTTCTACACTCCACAATTAAATGCTAACTCAATGGATAATGGCTTTGTTTTGGCTTTTGAGGCATTGCACAAAGAATAATTCCATAAATGGCCAAAAGTTCACAATGCCATTTTGATAAAGCAAGCTTCCGAGGACCAGACTTATTAGAGGTACATGTTTCATTAATAATTCTACTTTAATTACTATTATTGATACTGGTGCTACGCATTGTTTTATTGCTGCTGATTGTGTTGAAATTCCATAAGCGGTCGTCATGACCTATTAATAAGGGAAGGCTGCAACGGTCGTTGTAGCCCAATTTTGTAGGAAGGGCTTAGCTGGCAAGGGTGTAACGACCGTTACACCTAGGCAAGGGGAGTGTAACGGTTGTTAGACCTTGGGCTTGGGGAAATTTGGGCCTTCCTTCATTTGTTCTTCAGGGCCTTTTTGCTTTTTGCTTGTGATACGCTTTATTTAGTCATACACCCCATAACTTCATAAGTGTTCACTCTTTATGTGAATTTAAGCATGATTGGCACGACTTTTCTCGATTTTCTTCGCATGTGTCTTGTAACATCAAATTCCTGAAAACATAGAAAATACCGGCATAATACGAATAAATAATAATAATGGTAATTAAAATGCGGATAAAATTCATATAAATTAACCTAAATATTTGATACATTTCCGGGTTATCACGAACTTTGTAATGGTTCTCGTCTCTATAAGAATGCATACAAAGTGTTGACTTTTGAAAATATTTCATTTGAAAGTGTTGGTATGTTTGAAACATGTTTTGAAAATGGTTGTGAGCAAGCAACTATGAATGTTCTACCTACTCAATAAGTCTTAGTTCTTTTCCTCCTCCTTTAGATATTGATATCTTACCATTGATTGATAAGAAACCCTATCATTAGATATGAAGGGACAGGCGTGGGTCATCGTATAACC